TTGGGGAGTGACCCAGTGGATGGACCTTTCTCTGCTTTCCCAGGTACATCAACAGAAAGCTGGAGCAGAAGTGGGACAGCTGGCACTTGAACTGGCACCTATATAGGATGCTGGTGCCACAAATGGAGGATTAGCTTGCTACAGCATCACGCCAGCCCCTAAAACTGACTCTTATAACAGCTATACAGATGTACCACAACAGCTTTAAAGATCTGAGAGATGGAAACAGGGAGAGCTCCCACCTCCTGGTTCATTCTTCAAATGTTTCTAATAGCTAGGGTTAGGTTAGAGCCACAACCCAGGGCTCCTAAATAAGTGGCAGGCATTTATTGGGCCATGATTCCCTGGATCTGGCCTGGTAGGAAGCTGGAGTCTGGAGCTGGAAGCAAACCCAGGCATGCCAATGTGGGATGCCTAAGGCTAGATGCCCACTTCAGACGTACCATAGCCTAGCCAGCCATTTCACCAAGAATCTTTCCATAGTTTGTTCTTTTTTTTTTTTTTAAAGATTTTAAAATTTTTATTGGAAAGTCAGATATACAAAGAGGAGGACAGACAGAGAGGAAGATCTTCCATCCAATGATTCACTCCCCAAGTGAGCGCAACGGTCGGTGCTGTGCCAATCCGAAGCCAGGAACTTTCCTCCGAGTCTCCCACAAGGGTGCAGGGTCCCATGGCTTTTAACCGTCCTCAACTGCTTTCCCAGGCCACAAGCAGGGAGCTGGATGGAAAGCAGAGCTGCTGGGATTAGAACTGGTGCCGATATGGGATCCTGGTGTGTGCAAGGTGAGGATTTTAGCCACCGCACCAGGCCCTTTGTTTATCTTTAAAAAAAAAAAAAAGATTTATTTTTATTATTTTTTCATTGGAAAGGCGGATATACAGAGAGGAGAGACAGAGAGGAAGATCTTCCGTCCGATGATTCACTCCCCAAGTGAGCGCTATGCCGATCCAAAGCCAGGAGACTCTTCCGGGTCTCCCACGCAGGTGCAGGGTCCCAAAGCTTTGGGCCGTCCTCGACTGCTTTCCCGGGCCACAGGCAGGAAGCTGGAAGGGAAGCGGGGCTGCCAGGATAGAACCGGCGCCCAAATGTGATCCCGGGCATGCAAGGCGAGGACCTTAACCACTGTGCCACCATGCCCGGCCCCCCTTTGTTTATCTTAAAGTCAAGTTGATAGAGAAAGATTATCCATGCACTAGTTCTCTCCCTAGATGGCTGCCAACAGCTGCAGCTGAGCTGATCCAGAGCTGGGAGCTTCTTCTGGGTCTCCCATGCAGGTGCAGGGTCCTAAGGCTTTGGGCCACCCTCGATGGCTTTCCCAGGCCACAAGCAGGAAGCTGGATGGGAAACAGAGCTACCGGGAATAGAACTGGCACCCATATGGGATCCAGGCACGTTCAAGGCAAGGACTTTAGCTGCCAAGCCACTGCACCGGGCCTGGCAGATAAGTTTTAAAAATTATTTTATTTATTCATTTGGAAAGTAGAACATCGGAGTATAAAAGTAAAATGTACCTAAAATCCATTCAATTTTCCATGATTATATTTCCATTACAGATACACAGTTAAGCATTTCTAGATGGCCTAATCCATTGCAGACATAGTTCCTAAGTGCATTACATAGGTTAAACTCATTTAACCTTTAAAATAACCTGATACAGTAGACACAAGTATTACCTTCATTTCACTGACAAGAAAACGGAGGTGCAGAACGTAAGCGTGTCCAAGCACACACATATCTGCAAACAGCAGAACTAAGATCCCGCCCAGCCTCTCTGGCATCTGTCACGGATGCACTCGGATGGACGGGCAGAACCAACGCTTAAGGGACAGCAGATACAAAGACTGCATGTGTGCCTCCGGTCAGCGGACGCCATGCTAACTCCAGGACAATGATCCTAAAAGTGTCGCCAAGCCATCTGCTTGTCTGTCAACTTGAGAGAGGGAGGCCTGGGACCGTGTCAGTCTCCTGAGAGAATATCACATACTAAAACCAACACCCGTGCCACTGCATCCCCCAAGGGAGACCTCACAAATGAGTGCAGAACACAATGTCCACCAATGGCAACTATTCCTGGGATGGCTGATAAAGTGTCACTCTGATTCCCAAACTCATTCACATGATGGAATACCTGGAAGTCATTCTTGGAATGTTAATAGTTTTGAGTTTGTGAATCAACTAGGAACAGTTTTATGATAGAGGATATTAACTATGTTATGATGGAGAATATATTAACTCTGTTAATATAGGATCTAAAAAGCCCAAAAATGTCTCCACAATGTTTCGTGTGGATGATCAGGTTAGACCATTTTCATTGATGCTCACCATTATATCCACCCATTTTGCCTCTATTGCCAATCACTGCCTACAGCGCGCCACCAACCATGTGAGAACAGCAACCAACTTTTAAATTCTTCTTCTTGGGTCCAGCATGATGGCCCAGTGGCTAACTGGGATCCCATATGGGTACAGGTTCATGTCCTGCTGTTCCACTTCCCATACAGCTCCCTGTTTGTAGCCTGGGAAAGTCACAGAGGACAGCTCTAAGCCTTGGGATACTGCAGCCACATGGGAGACCCGGAAGAGGCTCCAGGCTTCTGATCGGCTCCACTCAGGCCTTTGTGGCCACTTGGGGTGTGAACCAGTGGATGGAATATCTTTCTGTCTCCCCTGTTCTCTGTAAATTTGCCTTTCCAATAAAAATTTTTTAAAAAGATTTATTTATTTTTATTGCAAAGTCAGAGATACACAGAAAGGAGGAGAGACAGAGAGGAAGATCTTCCATCCGATGATTCACTCCCCTAGTGACCGCAACGGCCGATGCTATGCCAATCCAAAGCCAGGAGCCTCTTCCGGGTCTCCCACATGGGTGCAGGGTTCCAAAGCTTTGGGCCGTCCTCGACTGCTTTCCCAGGCCACAAGCAGGGAGCTGGATGGGAAGTGGAGCTGCCGGGATTAGAACCGGCGCCCATATGGGATCCCGGCATGTTCAAGGTGAGGACTTTAGCTGCTAGGCCACTGCGCCAGACCCAAAAATAAATAAATCTTAAAAAAAAAAATTGTTACCTATGGCTAAATTAGTCTTCTTTGTAATGGTATGTATTTTAGGCACTTTTAAACCTGATGATGAGAGGCGGTCTATTGCATCACGTTACCGGAAGTGTTCATCCCAGGCATGCACACGCAGAAGGATGCTGAGTTACAGACAGGGCAGGCACTAAAATCACGGACTGCGGGAAGACAGAGTTGACTGCTTACTCTGCGACTAGACGCGTTCCTCCGTGCTTCACTATGAAGGCCACCCCACCACCGTGTGAGTGGTACAAAAGAACTCCACACAGTTGCTGAAGGAAAGGACTAACTTGGGAACTTCTTGCAACCTTTGATACACGGGCAGCCAATCTGACAGTATGTCCTCCCTCAGGAACGGGAGACCTCCGGCTTACCCACTGATCCTGATGAAACTTACAAAAATACAACATCAATTCACGCAACGGGATTCAGGCCTTTTGAGACACGTCTCTTAATTTTTTTCCTGTGTATCCTATAAGAGCAGTTCTTGTGGTCCTGAATTTGCTACTACCATCTCCACCTCAGAACCTTGAATTTCACTTGCAGATCTGCTGTTCTCTATGAGCCAGAAAGAGTCATCAGAGAAAAAGAAACAGAGCTATGCCAGGCGCTGGTGCTGTGGCACAGCACTGTCGCTGGCTGGAGTCCCAGCTGTTCCACTCGTGAGCTTCACCTGCTAATAGCCTAGGAAAAGCAATGGAAGATGGCCCAACCCTTGAGTCCCTGTCTTCAGCCTGGCTGAGCCCCAGTCACTGCGGCCACCTGGGGCAGTGACTCAGTGAGTGGCCTTGCTCCTCTCTAACTGTCTTTCAGATAAAATAAAAATCTTACAGTTCAGACTCTTTTCTTTTTTTAAAGTCCTTCATGTGTAAAACAGCACCCTTTCCTACAGCAAACAGTGGGTCCCAAACAGGTGTGGCTGCGGCCCCTCCATGCCAGTGAACCGAGGGGAACCTGATCCGAGACCACCCAGCTTTCCTCCCCTTCAGCAGGCCTGACATCTGCCTCACCTTCACTCCTCACCCTGACACTCCTGGAGGCACGATGAGGTCCAGAACTGAAACACCCATCAGCCAAGTCTTTCAGGCACTCACCATCGCTCGCAACTCTCACTTGAATACAAGAAAGATTAAAAAAAAAAAAAAAAAAAAAAAGAAAGAAATCTCCTCTCACGGAGCAATAACTTTTAAAAAATTAATGTGGGCCAGCTGCCAGCTGCAAAAAGCATTCCCCTACTACCACGGCTTGCAGCAAGGATTCTCTAAACCAGGAAGTGCCGGCAGCCCCACTACCAAAGATTACAAACTGTGGGGAGGACGTGCATCTAAGCAACCAAGGAGATAAAGAAGGCCCGTGTGTTTCACAACACAGTGGTGGGACACAATGCTGCAAGGTGAGATGCCCCAACTCATGCTGCTTTGGGGAGGCAGGAGTCGCCCGGCAGCAGGGTTGCGGACCCCAGGTGGTGCCCAGGGGTGCGAGAAGGGGTAGGAGGGCAAGTCCAGCACGCCAGGAACGTGCGACCACCAACTGAAGCACCTTCACGGTCATCACACTCTCCTCCCGCCCCAGCTCCCGTCACCCGAAGCAATGCGGCACAAGTGGGAGGTGGGGGAACATGACGAGTAGCTGGCGCAGCTCTAGGGCTGTAGACTCGGGCTTGGGAGCTGTTCTGTACCCCCAACCACGAGATCCCCGACCGTCTCGGGACCAACACACACACACACGGCGCCTCCACACTCCAAACACGACCCGGGGAATACACTGAGAGACTACGAGCGGGAAACCTCAGCACCAGGGCCGGACCCAGTGAGGAACCGCTCCGGGGCGCTCAGACAAGTCCGCAAGGAGGAGCGACTGTTTGGGGAGGGGAGCCCCCTCCCCGGAAAGGGCGCTCCGGGGGTTCCGAGCCCCGGGCCCGGCCCACCTTGTTGTTGTACTCCTCCACGAAGCTGCCCAGCGCCAGGCGAAAGCGCTTGTCCGGCCGTACGCTCCAGTTCATGGCGTAGACGGTCCAGGGCGCTTCATACTTGTAGATCTCCTTCCGTTTGCCGTGCAGGGACATGGTGGCGGCGGGGCCGCAGTGCGGGCCGGCAGCGGGCAGCGAAGAGCCGGGCCGGGGGCGCAGGGGTCTGAAGGGAGGCGGGGCGGCTAGGAACTGCCTCGCCCGGAAGCGGGGCCGCGGCGACGGACGACGACGAGCAGGGCCCGACCCCCAGGTTTCAAACCAGCTCCGGCACAGACAACAACCACCTTCCGTTTGGGATGTCGCCCCGCCTCCTCGGAACGGAAGCCACGCGGCCCTCCCCCACCGGCCTCCTCACACATACACCTCAGCGGCGCCGGCCGTTGGCTGTTGGAAACGTCCTTTCGAAATAGCTCCTTCTCCTCATTGGTTGTAACCACCCCAGCGACTGAACTCTCCTCGCCATTGGCTTAAAGCTTTATCATTCCAACTACTCGCCCCGCCCGATTCCTGGAGGCTGACGCTTTTCGCAGTTCCACAGGTCATTGGCTAGCCAAGATGTCAGTCAGATGGATAACGGCGCAGTGCGGGTGAATAGGGGCGTGGGTGGCACGGAGGCCACCTGCAAGTTCTCGGCCAGGTCTCTGCGAGGGGAAAAGCTCTTGTGTGACCTGCCCTGGCTTCCCCCCTCGCTGCAGCTTTACTGAGCTGCATCTACTCAGTTGCCTTCAGTCTAAATTTCTGTCTTAAGGGAGGACTCCTGCCTCTAGCGGTACTGAGTTCCGAGGCCTGACACCTTGGCCTGTTCGCGTATCCTTCGGACCCTTTTAAGCAGAGAGCTGTTCTTCCAGGGCTCCAGGGACAGATCTGCGACGCGAGGGCCTGCCACTGCCTTCCTGTAGACTCTAGAAATGTTCAACTCTTTGCTTTCAGCATTAGAGGAGGTTTGTATTGAGTTACCAGACGATGCCATGAAATAGAGTGTTCAGTCATACACATGATGTTAACAGACGAAAGAGAATTCACAGACTTGAGGGGTATGTTGTCTCTGGCTTAAGTTTTAAAAAGAAAAATAGGCACAAAGGTAGTATTGAACTTTGTTTTATTCTGACAAAAAATATTGATAAGCACAGGCATAGAACTAATTTTTATAAAAATTTTGTATCTGTTCTGAACAACTGTATTACTAATTAGTAGCATCTTATTAAGTTTATATAATATTAGTTGTAATGATTTTTAGATGTTCAGTTTAATATACTTGTGTGTTGCAAACAGGATTACCAAGAATGTTTAAGCATCAGAATAAATTATGTATTGTTAAAACTAGGGTGGCAATAGGTCAGAATCATGGAAACCTGTTCACATGTCTTTAAAGTGGACTGTGGTAGCTCTTAAATCTATGTTATTTGTATAAAAACAACTCAGTATAAAGGAGACATGAAACCATCAGTATTTACAATGCACTGGACATGAAATCCTTTGCAATGATTTGACTTACTATTCATAATATACTTCAGATGTCATCTTAAAAATATGAACAGAGAAATGAAGTTTCAGAATTCTTTTTTTTCATTTTTTATTATATTTTTGATAATCTTTACATAGTTAATTAGCGTAAAAAGGTTCAAGGGCTATAGGAAAGTGGGAAAAATTTCCATATTGTTTCCTTCATGTATCAGAGGTAAAGGGGGATACTGAGGGAGAAGCCCCACCCAGTCTCCTACCTACCCCAGGTCCCAGATGTGGGGCATGCTCTGAGATTCTTGCTCAAGTGGTTTTGAGAGTTCAACAGTTATGAATTGCTGCCAATCTCGCCACTGCAAGACGATGAGGTCATTGAAGAATCCGCTGATTGACATAGCCCATCACAGAGTCTCTGTTTGCCCAGTGTTTCGCTGCCAATATATAGCTGAGGTGGTTGATTGACTTGTTCTGTCTCTTTTCTTGGTTAGGATTCTGAGTCCGGCATTTCGATTGGGGAGATCTCAAAAGAAACTTTGTCTGAGGTGTTCCCAGTCCAGATTCTTGTATGTACTAGCAAGTACAGGGCCCGGCACAGTCCATCGCCTCGACTTGCAATTGCTGGGTTGGTTCTGTTTTCAGCCCCAACTTCCACTGGGACCAATGGGTGTTGCAGTCCAGCCTGGTTCTGCCCAGCACATACTTGGCCCTCACATAAACCAGTGAAAGCTGCAGCCTAGTCGGAGCGACCCACAATAACCCCCACCAGGCCTGCCCTTACCCTGGTTTGCCCGTATGTGTAGCAGACTAGTTTAGTCTGTCCCACATCCCATTCGGCTCTCATACATGTCAGTGGGCATTGAAACCTAGTTCCATCTAACCAGCTCCACTATCCAGCCCTCATGGATGTTGTTGAGTGCCTCTCTGTCTAGCCACCCCAGCCCCTGTCCTAGTTTTATGCCCTCCCATGGGAGTGGTAACCCAAGAGGGAGGAGCCCACTATTTCCCTCCCAGGCCTCTCCCACTCCCGGATTATGCACTCTCCAGGTAGTTCTGTGGTTTGACTTGACAGAACTAGCCCCCAGTGTCAGTTTCTGCCAGTTGATGCTGTGGCTAAGCCCCAACAACCCTCACCTACTCTAATTTTGTTTGCACCAGTGGGAATAATCAGCTCAGCCTGACTTTTCCCTGATCTAGTCCATATGAGGCCCACAGGTGTCGTAGCCCTGCTTAGTCTGGTCTGCCCCCATCCCAGCTCTTGCTATCCAGTGGGAGTAGCTGTCCAGCAAGGGAACCCCCCCCCCCATATCCCCTCTGCCAGCTCCACCCCCTCCCTTCCTTGTTCTCATGCTTGCTGGTTGGGCACTGCGGTCCCTTCCGGTACAGACACCAACCTCACCTTGGCATTCCATATTGTGCACTGGTTGTTGTCGCGACAGAACCTGGCTTGACCCACACTCTGTTCTGGTGCTTGGATTTGCCAGTGGATGACATGAACTGATTCAGCCTGGTCTGCCCCCAACCCATGCCAAATGTATGCCAGCAGGAAACTTACCATGGCCTGTTCTGGGCTGTTTCCTATCATGTTTCTTGTGCTTACCTGCTGGGTCTGTGTCCTGCCAGAGGAGTTGCCCAGGCTCCTCCATCAGAACCTCTCCCAGTGCCAGATTTTGTGCATACTAGGGGTTCCATGAGCCAGCCTACTCAGTTCACCTCCTGTCCTAGCAGGAACAGTGGCTTTTCCTGACTGGCCTTCAACCCAAACTGGTTCTTGCTGCTGGCTATTTCAGCCTAGCCACGGCTCGTCCATAGCCACGTATGGCTCACACATGGCTCAGTAGGGGTTGAGACCTAGCCTAGTCTGTCCCACATCCAACCTGGTCCTCCAGGACACCAGACAGGCCTGGGGACAGCTCACTATGTGCATGTGGTGGCTGGAGTCAGGGATCTGAGCATGAAGACGCCCTGGCATGAAACCCCCCAGCAGCCAGCCGAAGTTTCAGAATTCTTTCAGAGAGTTCTAGAATGCAAAGTACTGAGGCCAAAAACCAGTGATGAGTATTCTGGGACATCAGCTCCCTTTCAGTAGGGTGGTTAACTGCAGGGGCTCTTCAGCCTGGCTGGCTTGAAATCCTGTCCCTCTTTCCCTGTTGTGTTAATCACGCGTCACCTGAGTTTCACATGGCAGGAATCCAAATATTTGAGCTGTCGTATCTGCCTCTCAGAGTCTGTGCCAGTAGGAAGCTAGAGACAGGGACTGGGAGTGAGATGGGGGTGCCTTAACCGCGATGCTGAACACCTGACTGTTTAAACTGAAGCATACTTTGTACTCAGAAGTGCATATGTTGGGCCCGGCACAGTAACCTGGCAGCTAAAGTCCTCGCCTTGAATGCGCCAGGATCCCATATGGACATTGGTTGTAATCCCAGCAGCCCTGCTTCCATCCAGCATCTTGCTTGTGGCCTGGGAAAGCAGTCGAGGACAGCCCAAAGCCTTGGGACCCTGCACCCACATGGGAGAACTGGAAGAGGCTCCTGGCTCCTGGCTTTGGATCAGTGCAGCACTGGCCATTGCAGTCATTTGGGGAGTGAATCATCGAACGAAAGATCTTCTTCTCTGTCTCTCCTTCTCTCTGTATATCTGACTTTGCAATAAAAATTTTAAAAAAAATTTTTTAAAGAAGCACATGTGTTTTCTGTAGCCAGCAGCCAGATCAGGAAACTGAACGATGCTAGCACCCTCAGAGGTCTAACCCACACGTGGGGAGTTACGTAGGCCGCTTGGCTGCTCATCCCACACGTTGAAGATGAAAGCAATGCTGCCTCCTCAGGCTCGCTTGGAGGATCAGGTGATCTGTGGCCTGCAGAGCTGTCTGTGCAGGACAAGTGCTATGAAAACCTGGCTGGTGTCATAATTGCTGAAGCCACCTGTGCCCCCTGCCCAGCTAACAGCCCCAGGCTCTGAAAGCTTCTGAGTCCAGGAGCAACCTTCAGGTCCCCAGTATGAGAGACAGTGGAAGTGTGATCCCCCCACTCCCCTGTGAGAAGTTACTCGTAAAGGCCACGACACAGTCAAGGATGTGCTGCTCTTCCGATGAGCGACACACTTGTCCCAACGTGGAATGTGTAGGTTTTATTAGCTGAGTGACTCTCCACTGCCCTGCAGGCACCTAGATGGCATCACAAATGACCACAGGCAGAAGGACCAAGGGCTGGAGCTCCATTGCAACATGTCCATACCACAGAGGACACCTGTCTCCAGCCAGATCCGGGGTTTGGAGTAGGAGGGCTAACCAACCCTAGGCCTAGTGCAGGGTCAAGCGGGGGCTGATGGTTCTGAGCTGGGAGGTGACCACGCACAGTCCTCAGCAAGGCTGTGACACAGGCCATCAGAAACATCTTTCTTTGCCAGCCCCTCAGCTACACCTCCTCCATGCCCAAGGCTGCCCCACTCTCTGCCAGGCTTGCTGCCTGTACTGAGCCCCTGGGGGAAGCTAGGAGAAAGTCCCGAGACTCTTCACCCATGCTATCCTAGGGTCAACAGTTTGTATCTAGTCTAGAACAGTCTTCAGAGGCCCACCTGAGGAGCTGTTGGCCTCCCCCATCTTCACAGCCCTCCCAGCAGCTGGGCACTTGGTGCCCTAACTCCTGGCAAACCCAGGATCAGAACCATATCTCTGGAACTCCAGCTGCTTGGGAAGAGAGTCAAGGTGTTCAGGGAGAGAGGGGAAGCGTGGACCAGAGAGGAGCCCCTGTACCTCCAGGGGCTGCAAAGGGGAGGTCAGGGGTGACAGGAGCCCCTCAGGCCGCTCCTGGTCGGAGGATGGCGTCAGAGTTTGATCCGCTGCTGCCACCACCAGGTCAGGCATTTGGGAGGAGGAATTCCTGTGCTTCGGCCTGCATTTGTCCAAGTCACCAAAGCCTGGGATCTGGAAGGAGCAGGAGAGAGGGAGATGCGAAGTGGCGAGGAGGGTTTGGTGCATGGGGCCAAGGGGGTGAGTTAATCTGCTCTGACTGTGGAGGGGAAACTGTCCAGAGCTGCTGCACTTGCAACATCCCATGGTCCTGTTGCCCTTGGCCCAGCTGTGAGGTTGCCAGTCTGGGCTCCACCCTGTTCGAGCTGCCCTTGGCATGGCTCACATTATAGAGAATGGCAGAAACCCTAGCTGTTCCCAGTGCCACTGTGGTTCTAGGGCCTGATGCCACCTTGGCACCAAGTTTGGGGTAGGGAGCTCATCCCTGCAGGGAGATCCCCTCATTCTCACCTGTGCAGCAGGCAACCGGGGTCCTGGACTCTGAGTCCCTGAGGCCACAGGAAACAAAGCCAGGTCACTGGAGGTGGGAACTCCCAGGATGCAGCTGGCATGGCCCTGGGCCATGGGCTGCTGAAGGAGCTGCAGGATGTGGTTGAGGTCTGAGGACAGGCGGGACTCCAGCCTGCCAGACAGAATCCCACAGTCAGGGTTAGGCTTCCAGTTTTGTCACTGAAAGTTATCTCCCCACTAGGATCCACAGTCCCTAATCACAATACTTCCAGGCTGGCATTCCCAGTCATTGCACCAGCAGTGTCCCTGAGCCGCCAGGAGGGGGCGCATGCACCCAGGTCTGCCCTCTGCAGCTGATTCCAGTGGCGGGTCGGCACTCACCTGTTCACCTGGGCCTGGAGCTCATCCAGCCTGGAGCCTAGCTCCCTGGGCCAGCAGTCTGTGTCTTCCTGTGGGGTCGGGGAGCTGTGCTTTAAGGGCATTGGCTGCAGCAACTCGGGCCAGAAGCCAGATGCATCTGAGATACTTATGGAAGGGGCTGCATCTGTAGGAGGGCCACAGGAAGGCTGGGCTCAGGCTAAGCAGGTTTCATAGACCTGATGCTTTCCAGCACAGCCAGTGTTGCAGGAGGCGGGGGCAGGGGGGCTACCCAACCTGCCACTGCTACCTTGAGGAGCTGGCGAGGCAGGATGGACAAGACTGGAGAAGGTGCAGTTGACTGGGTAAGGCCCCCGTGCCAGGACAAACACTGTGCTCACCTGCCTGGTTGTCACTGAGGAAAAGGCCTGGGTGGTCTCCGTTGCCTGCGGCCTGTTGGGGGGATGACTGGAGACCCCCATCTGCCTTGTAGGGAACAAGAGCATCAAGTAACAAGGACCATGGCTGGGGAGGGGCCCTTTTGTCCCTCTCCATCCCCCTCATTCTCCAGGGTCCTCGGTTACAACCAGGTGTGCAAACAGGGACAGGAGGCTGAGCACAACCACAGTGCTCCAGGCAGCTGCCCATGGGCTTTCAGGTGACAAGGGTAGGCAAGTGCACGAAGGCTTAGGGCTCATGTGCCAGCAGCCCTGTGAGGACCCCTACAGGGGTTTTGGGAGGGATTGTCTTGAGCAGCAAGGTATAAGGATGGAAGACAGTCCCCCTTTCCTAAGCGCTCAGTGCCTCCTCCCTGTGAGGACCAACAGGGAGTTTCCCCAAGAAGACTGGATTTGGAACTCCCCTCCCACCCCGCCACCCCGCCGCGATCCACTCAGAAGGTGTCCTCAGCGGTGCCCTAGGCAGCCCGTGTCCTGGCACCATGATTCTGGGCAGGCAAGGGGATACCTGCTGTTGCAGCTGTACCAGGCCACAGACTACATCCCTCCTGCCCAGGGTCCAGCGATTGGGCACATAGGCACACAAGCCCAGAGTAAGCAGCTTATTGCATATGTCCTGAGTAGATCAGGTGGCAGGGGGATCCCCCCTGGGAGAGGGGGGCACGTCCACTGCAGGAAAACCCATCCCAGTGCCACCTACCCAGCCCAGACTCACATCCCGCAGGTTGAAGGTGACTTCCAGCTTACTCCAGAAGCTGTCGGCGAAGGCAGGGTACATGTCCAACACCTCCAGCAGGTCTGCCCGCTGGATCTTGTGCAGGTCGCAGTAGGTCAGGGCCCGCACGTCTGCGCTGGACTTGCCTGGCCGGGCGTGGAGGCTGACGGGCTCCCCAAAGATGTCATTCTTCCCTGCCAGTCAGAGAGGCCGTGGTCCCTCCAGGGGCTGGCTCTAGGCTCCCTTCTATGAGGAGCATCCTTGAGCACTCCTCCTCTTCCCGCTCGAAGGATTCTGCCTGTCTGGGACTCGAGGCACAGAATCAAGGGGCCGGGGCTAGGTGCGGGGTGGAGTGTCCTTTCCTGTCTTCTGAGCGCCACAGGGACCCACTCGGAGCCAGTCCTCCCCCCTTTTGTCTGTGCTCTTTGGCACAGATCCTGCTCCCACACAGGGGACAGGGGACACTGGGGGTGCCTAACCTCCTCCTGCTCTCCTCCCCCTGTTAATGCTGTGGAGACACAGGGGACCCTGGGCCTGAGGTTGCTGTTTCTTTGTCTTCCCACTCCTTGCTGTCGGGCTAGGTCACCAGCGTGGTGCTGGCAGGGATAGCCTGGGTAAGTCACTCCCCTTCTCTGGACTCCAGGGTCTCCATTGCTAAAATGAATGAGGTCTTGTCTGCCTCATTCACAGATGATGCTTGGGAAAGCACCTGGAAAAGCAAGGGGCAGCAGACCATGGCACTGAGGGAGCGGAGGTCTTAGTGCACTCAGGGTGGGCAGGCTCCTAGGCCTGCCTGGTACCAGATGGTATACCGGCTACAGGGCATGAACATGAATGAGAAGCTACCCCTGCCCAGAAGTCCCCAAATCCCCACATAGCCAGCACAGAAGCTTCAAGAATGATCTAGAGAGCCTTGAAATATGAGAGAATCAAGAGCTTGGGTGCCATGCCGGAGCTAGGGCTCGTTATGCCAGGGAGGATGGGGGCAACAAGGAGGAGACATGGAGAGGGAGTGAAATGGAGGCTGTGTCATGAGGACGGGGACCCCAGACGGCAGGCAGGCAGAACAAGCAGCGTGTGGTCCCAGCTGCAGTCAGGGCTGAGCGAGAGCCCTGGCCAGGACCGCTGGGACGCCTCACCATGCACAGGAAGCCCCAACGCCCTTAACCTGATGATGCCACACCAGAGGCAGTGAGGGTTCAGTGAAGACCGAGGGGTGGTCAGTGGCAGGGATATTGTCCCCCACCCTGGGGAGAAAAGGATCAAAGATCATTTGCAGGAGGACCTGGAAGCTTAGAGAGGGGCGGGGCTTGCTCTCCAGGATCCCGCACAAAAACCTGAAGCTGACGTCTGGGCACCACGCCTGTGTGATGGTTTTCCAGTAGATGAAGGATTGTGATCTAATGTCTATTTCTAAAATATATGAGAGGATTTCATGTCTTTCACTGAAACTTAAATGGGACTTGCTCCTTAATTATTAATAGTAATGATTATTCCACCCTTGTGGCCTGGCTAAGGCAGGCTGGGGGAGAGAACAGGTGCCCTGGAGGAGCCTGGCCTGCCTGAGTCCAGCCTGGACTCAGCCACATTAGGGCACTGGGCATGTGCTGAGGTGCCAGCAGGTGGTAGACACAAGAGAGCTAAACAACTAGAAAGAGTTTGTATGGCTGAAGCTGGAAGTCCCCCAGGCAGCAGGTCACAGATATGGTACCCAGGATTGGGGAGACCTGTGTGTTCCCCAAGGTAGGGCCAGCCACGGAATTCTGAGACCAAGAGGAATGCGTGTACAGGGGTGAATGAGAGGTCACTGGCCGTAGGTGGAAGATGGAGCCCAGGGTGGGACCAGAGGCAGGGCCACAGGGAGGGGGCTCCTGGCACCTCCAGAGGGCTGGCACAGTGAGGACTAGGAAGTGCCAGACAGAGCAGCCTCAGTGAGGAGTACAGAGAGAGCTCGGTGGCCAACTGCATGGGTGTGGGTCACTCCCCTGGCTGACTTCAGCCTGGCACTGGGTGGATGGCTCACCGTGGTGAGGCTGAAGGACCTGCTTCTGAGGGATGGTGGCATGTTCTGTCTATGGAATACCAGGGCAGCCATCCTCAGAAGGAAACAGAATATTCCAGGGGCCAGGTTTGTGGTGTGGTGGGTTGAGTTGCTGGGAGGAGAGCCAGGTTATGGAGAGCCATGGAGGACAGGGCTGAGATGCAGGGGGAGACTGGGGGTAGAGTCAGCGTCATAGCTGCTCATACATAGCCTTTGCCCAAAGTGCCGAGCTGTCTCCACGGCTGCCGGGAACGAGACTCAGGGTGCCCGGCTGGGGCTTCTTCCTACGCTCCACCAGACAGACCTCTGACTTGTCCCCCTGCGCTACCTGGAGGGACGCAGAGAGCAAGGCCGCTGCCGGGGCTTTGTGAGTCCAGCACGGGCCTGGAGCACTCCCCTCCCGGGTCCCAATCCCCGGGGCCCACCTAGAATGGCCACAACCACGTCGTCGCGCAGGATCTCGATGGAGCCGCGGGAGATGAAGTAGAGAGCCGAGAGCACGTCCCCTAGGTGCACCAGTGTGTCCCCGGGAGGCGCGTGAGCGGTCTTGAACTTGACCGCCAGCGCTCGCAGGCAGCCCTTGCTGGCCCCGCGGAAGGCAGGGCAGTGCTGCAGCAGACCGCGATGCAAGTGCAGGCAGATGTCGGCCTGCAGACACTCGGGGAAGCCCTTCAGCACCTGCGGGTGGGCGGGGTGGGGAACGGAGAGCAAACAGGGTCTAGCTGAGAGGAGTGAGGGCCTGAGAGATGCCCCTCGCCCCTCGGGATGCAGGCCTCCTCGGGTGGCGAAGGGAGCTCACCGCGTTCATGTCGATGCCGTTGGTGTAGGACCAGGCATGCTGGAAGTACTCTTCGAGGCGCTGCCGCAGCGGGTTAGGAATCTGGTGGAAGCGGATGAATTCCTTGACGCGTAGCATCTGCGTGTGGTAGCGTGCTGTACCTGAGTATAGGCGTTGGATGATGGCCGACACGTTGCCGAAGATGCTGGCATACATGAGGGCTGCGGGAGGAGCCAGTCTCCGTGACTGCCTTGGCATCTCCCTTACCACCCTCCCCGCAGCCCACCGAAGCTACAAGTCCAACCCCAGGCCTCTATCTTCCTGGCAGCCCCCTCCCTGGCCAGGAGTCCAGTTCTAAGTGCCCAGGACAACAGCAGGACCCACGGGGACAGGAGTGGCTTCCTGCCTTCCCACTCTGCTCTGGGCCTCTTGGCTCCTTCCCAAGGCTCCAAAGGCTAAACTCTTTCCAAGAAAGATCTAGAACAATGGATTTTTTTTTTTTAAAGTTCCAATTTGTTTTCTCCTTCGAGCAGTTAAAAACATAATAGAGGGGAAGTTCTTGGTCTCTTGTTTTCACCCACTTTTTCCTTGTTTTTGTTTTTTTGCAGCTTGTCACATCTCTAAATACTCTGGAACATAATAGCTAGAATCCACATGTCAAGTCCCACACTGCCTCCTGCTTTGCTAAAGCAGGTGTCTGCCTGAGGCAGGCCACTCATCACCAGCTCTGAGAGCAGCAGGGTCTTTGGCCTTGGAGTGGCCACCTGGGCGGGACCTGAGACTCAGCAACTTAGCTGTGTGCTCTTGGGCAGCAAGTTAGGCCCTTGGGTTCCAGCCCTGTAAACTGGACTTACAAGGGAATGAAATGAGAGCCTTTCCCAAAGTTCATAAAGCAGTGTCCAGCAGAGTAGACTTGGTGAGGGTGTGACCTCTGCAGCTACACAGAACCACCTGCTAACAGCCCTGTCCCTGCCATATTGTGGGGCTGTCATTGCCTCAAAACTGTTAAGGTGTGTGTGTGTGTGTGTGTGTGTGTGTGTGTGTGTGTGTGTGTGTGTTTTAAATGAAGGGCTCCAGGTTGTAACTTTGCAGAAGGCCTTACATTTAGAGTCAGTCCTGGCGCCTGAACACACAGAAAGGGCTGAGTGGATGTTAAATGCTGCATATAACTGGTACGCACATGCGCAAAATGTCATCGTGTGGCTCGCCTAGATTCAACCTGCCACATACCCTGTGGCTGCCTGTCTGCTACACCGCAGGTCCTGCTACAACTAAAACTAGAATCCTGGGGTCAGCCGCGCGGCACCAGCTGGGACTCACAGCCAATGAGCATGACGCAGATGGAGAAGACCTTCTCGGAGTTGGTGTTGGGCGAGACGTTGCCGAAGCCCACGCTGGTGAGGCTGCTGAAGGTGAAGTAGAGGGCTGTGACGTACTTGTCCTGCACCGAGGGGCCCGAGGCTGGGTCGCTGCCATTGTAGTGCTTGCCAAGCTGTGCGCCTAGGCTGTCCAGCCAGCCGATCTTGGGCTCCAGGTAGGGCCGCTCCACATTGCCGATGGCGTACCAGATGCAGGCCAGCCAGTGTGCGATGAGCGCGAAAGTGCACATGAGCAGGAACAGCACGGCTGCCCCATACTCGGAGTAGCGGTCCAGCTTCCGTGCCACGCGCACCAGCCGCAGCAGCCGTGCTGTCTTCAGGAGTCCAATCAAGGTGGTGGTCTGTGGGGCAGGGAGAAGCCCGTGGGGCTCTGGGTCAGCCCTCCAAAGGGTACTCTGAGGCCTGCTGTAATTTACACGTGTATGCAGTCACACAGTCATTTCACAAATACCTATGGAGAACCTGCTCTGTGCCAGGGCCGTGAAGGAAGTACTATGAGATCTTAAGAAGCTTTCTGAGACTCCAGGCAAGGTTCTGGGGGGCAAGGATTGAAGACCAGTGGAAGCACAGAAGGAGACAAGTCTGTAGGGGCAGGGCAGGGCTAGGGAGGCTTCCTAGAGGAGGTGACACGTGAGCTAGGTGGACCAAAAAGCCACTCAGTGTCCAGGAGGGGCAATGGGGCTTGGAAAGAGGATTTGGGGTTGGATTTGCTGGGGTGGCATAGAGCAGCTCAGGAGGGGTCCTGCCAGATTCCCCCCGCCTGGCACGGTGGTGGTGAAGCAGCTGGGACTCAGGAGGCAGAGTTGATTGGAATGGAGGAGAGCTGAAGGCAAGGAGACAGTGCAGGAGGCCCCAGGTGACCACAGAAAGAGCGTGAAGTACTCGCACGTAACCCATGGGAAGTGGCATGGGCAGAGAGGAGGGGCCAGAGGGGGTGCAGCTGTACTGGGGGCAGCAAGCCTATGGATTCTTTTTCCAGTTCCAGGGTGAGCATGGCATAGGAGGCTGCCTGAAGGGATAGGGGAGGAGAAGGCCTGTCCCAGAAGGGGCAGATTCGTGGGGCAGAAGGGGGGCCCTTCTCAGAGAGAATGGGTAGAACAGTGGTACCAATGGGCACGGTCTCAGCCAATGCTTTTCCAGGGCTGGAAGCTGACAGCTATCCCAGGGTCCCCTGCACTTGCCTGCCTCTCCCACTCACCCACTCAGGCAGGGAGGCCTTTGATGCTAGGACACAAGGGACAGCCCTGGCTGTTGGCCTGGAAAGGGTATGTATGCTCACCTCATCAGAACCAGTGCGGAAGATGAGCAGGTCAAAGGGGATGGCAGCCACCATGTCGATGAGGAACCAGCCCTTGAAGTAGTGCACGGCGATGCGGCGGGGGTGGCTGACCACCTCATCGTTGGTGTTGACATAAGTAGTGCGGAAGTTAATCACGATGTCCACCACAAACATGATGTCCACAATGAGGTCTACCACGGTGAGCGGGCTGCAGGTGTAGCCGCATGCGCCGCGCTGGGACTCATCCTGATCGCTGAGCAGGAAGGCAGCTGAGTAGGGTGTGAAGACAGCCGTGTAGATGACCAGCAGCAGGATGAGCCAGTCCCACACGGCCTTGAAGGGGCTGTAGTGCAGGATAGTCCCGCGGTGGATGCGTGGTGCCTGCAGCTTGTACTCGGGCAACACATCTGCGCCCAGCGATAGGACCTGGGTGTCGGGTGTGGGATTGGGGTGTTAGTGGAGGTGACTGCTGCCTGATGAGCCAGGGCTGCCAGGTGAGCCAGGGGAAGGAAATGTCACCCAGGGTCTGGGTAGAGGCTGGATTAGCTGTCCCAGCTCCAAACTGACTCTTTCCATGTCAAGCTCTGAGAGTTGGGCCAAGGGATAGCCTTCACTGGTCAGCAGTGAGCAGACTTTTTTGGGGTGACTGTTCCCACCAGGGACCCCAATCACTGAATCCCTCCAGGAAAGACTGGCTCACCCAGCCCCCCCTCCTTCTGGACTCTTCTTAGGAACACACCCATGGGTGACACTGGCCCAAGCTGTCCCCTCCACTGTGTAGCCTACCTCTCCACTTTTACTTTTGGCACATCTGTCCCCTTGGAGACTTGCTCTTTGTATATCCCTCATCTGTTCTGTCCATCACAGTCCCTGTTGCTCACTCTCCCCCAGCCCAACCCGCCCAGGCTCTGCACAGCTGTCTAACATGAGAAGCAGCTGGAGCATGAGGAAGGGCATGGGCTTGGAAGCCAGATGTCCTGGCCAAATGCCAGTTGCACCATTTGCTCTAAGTGTTGTCAGCCCCATGGGCCTCAGTCCCCTCATGTGCTCAACTGGGTGACAAAGGGCAACACATCGAGAGACGATCATTGCCTGAGAAGCTGCCCCATGTGGCTGTCCTGCTCACCTGGCGCCACATCCTACATCAGACACAGCACTGACAAGCAGGACAGAGCCTGAGGGGTGTCCCACTGACCCCTGCCTCCCAGCTGGGGTCTGGCGGATGGCTCAGGTTTCAGAACATCTGTGATGTCAGATTTTGACCTTGCACACCACAGCAGCTATCCATAGGGAAGATCCATCAAAGTGCTGGTTTCAACCAGATGGTTCGTGGTCTGATAGCAAACTCCTGGGCAGGACTGCACCCTGCAGTGCCCCCTTGTCCGGTCGCCAGGCCCACACTTCACAGTCACAGAAAGTCTCCTCTGACTCCCCTTAGCCTGCAGCTCACTTTTTCTTGCTCTCCACTGGCCTGCAAGCTTCCCACGCACTCAGTGCTTTCCATGCAGGCTCTTTACTGCAGGTGGCTGAGTCGCTTGGGCTCTGGCCGGAAGGGGCTGTGCTGCCTCACCCTGGGCATCAGGACTGCTCTGGATCCTGCCTATGGCTCTGCCACGGTCATCTGTGTAGTGCGCGACAGCGGGACAATAGGAGTCTGGGAAGGTTCCAGATTGGCTGGGAAGAGTGTCCAGTTCCTCAGCTCCCCAGTGCCCCCAGCCAGTCCCACTCCCCAACACTGCCCCTCCCCATCCTCTCTGTCCCTGAAGCCAACGCGAGGATCTCCCTGAAGCAAGCCTGCTCTGCCCAGCAGCACTTGAAGTAGAGGGATTCCGGGTGGATCACAGCCCTCTGAGCCCGAGGTGACGTCCCTGGGCTGGGGCGTGAAGCCAACACAGGAGCAAGGACCATGGCCAGTTTAGCCAGGCCTGTCCGTTGTCTCAGACCCCTCCCAATCATACCACCTCCACCAGGATGGCCACCAACTTCAGCAGTCCTGTGAGAGCAACTCAGGGAGGGGAATTTCCTAGTGTCAGGCCAGGGCTCCTCCTTCCCCCAGAGCTCCTTAACTCCAGGAGGGGCTGAGTGGTCTTCTGGTGACAACTTTTACCAGCCCTGCCTCTCATGTAAGTTGACCCCAAGGGAAGCTGGGCTCTACAGCCCTGCTCTGCATCACCTCCTTTAGTTCAGCCTTGGCCTGGGTTCCTCTCTGTGGCTTAGAGCTCTATCTCTCCCACTTAAGGTTGAAGGGGACCACCTAGTTCAATTCTCTCCTGCCTGTGAGAACCCTGGGGCCCAGAAGGGAGGCCGTGGTCCCTGGCCCAAGGTCATCAAGGGAGTGATCAGGCCCCGTGGGAACAGACAGTGGGGTCAGCTGGTGCAGAAGACCCAGAGAAGTCAGCTTCATGCTGGCTGCAGGAAGACAGGGAAGGTACCTGAGGCTGGATCCCCAGGAAGCTACTCCTGTGTATTGGCTGGCAGTGGGCTGTCAGGCCTGGGACTCAGAGCAGATACGAGAGACCTCAGCTACCCAAGGACCCAGAGGAGCTGGGAAGAGTGAGAAGCTTGAAGCTCGGAGGCCAAGTGCAGCCCTGTCCCTACACCCCTGCCTTGTAGCCCCCCATGTTCTCCCTTCCCCCGCCCCTGCCCTGCAGGCCCGCACCTGCGTGACCTTCTCGGTGACATTCTGTGTCCGCTCCACCACCTTGTGCGGGGCGATGATCTCGATCTCCGTGGTAGAGGCTGAGCGGTGCTTCTCCAGGTTGAACTCCACAAAGTTGAGTGTGAACTGCGGGATCTGGCTGACTGTCCTGTACTTGCCCCTGCCTGCACCAGGGCCCTGACCACCTGATCTTCCATGAGAGCCATCTGAAACCACCAGGGCGGGAGGTCAGACCAGCCAGGGCCATGGCGCCAGCTGCTCCACCTGGTGCTTCACCCCCAACGTGCCCCTCCTGCTGGCTCCCTCACCAGCCTCACGGGAGCCCAGGAAGCTGTGGGACAGCAGGCGCTGTGACAGGCTGCGGTGACTGCTCTTGGCCAGCAGCTGGGCTAGGTCCTCGAAGTTGAGAATGAACATGATGACAGCTCCTTCCTCATTCTTCACGGGGACCACATCCACCAGGCAGCGGAAGCTGGATGCTGCAAAGACCACAGGTGGGAAGAGAGTTGTCACAGAAGGGGCTCCTTCCAGCAGTGATCAGGCTAGGGAGGGTGCTATGTGAAGGTCAAATGGATGGCAACAACTGGGCAGAGGCCTGGACAGTGACCAGAACCAGTGAGGGAGGTGGCTCAGCAGGCACCCCACCCACAAGGCAGAGGTAGGGAGAGCAGCTAAGCGGCTCATTAGGAGATAATGTAGCATCAGGTCCAAGTCCATGCTCCACGCTCAGCTCAGGGCTTAACCTCAAGGTTCACTTCTGTCATAATTAAAGCTGGGCAGATGGAAGCGGATTAGGGAGTGGGGAGTGAGGTGGGACTGTCTGCCCCTCCCTCCCCATTCCTGCCCTGCAGAGCTCTGGCTGGCCCTGGGCTTGGCTACACATTTCCATTCCGCAAGAGGTGCCCTGCTCCCAAGCAGGCAGGACCTCAACGCGCAGAGCATAGCAGGTGCACAGGGCCTCTTGAAGTTCCTGGGGGGGCAGGCACTGAAGGACCCTGGCTCTGCAGATGAACACCGGTGGGTCTAAGAAACAGGCTTGCTGAGGCTGGTTGGAGACACAGAGCTACAATCTTGGGGCTCTCAGCCTTTGCAGTTTACAGAAGGAGGTGCGGCGATGAGTGCCAGGTGGCAGCTCAGGAGGAGCCAGGGTCCTGAGGCCTAGGTGAGACCAGGCAGAAAGGGGATTCAGAGGTCCAGGGGCAGAAGAGGCCTCCTCGGATCCAGTTGCTGGGCCCCGGTCTTTGCTCCCCTGCCCCTCTGCTCCAGTCTCATTACTACCATTCATTGGTAGATGGGAGTCCAGGGGCTAAAATGCCATATATGCCACCACCTGAGCCTCTTGAGTTTCTTCTGCCTGAGTCTCCTTTGTCCTTCGACTCAAACTGCTGCCAGATATCAGCCCCAAAGACCAGCAACTTTAGGAGCAGTGGCCTTCGGCGACCACACCCTGATATAGAAGGCAGGGTCTGTGTCCTCTGTCCCAGACTCTGGGCAGGTGTTTGTTGATGAGTAAATGAGAAGGACAGAGGCCAGCTGGCAGCAGCGTTGGCATTCCGGGGAGCCCTCACTCTTCCCCAGGACCCTTATTTAGAGCTTGCATTTCTGCCTCTCCTTGCAGCCATCAGAGCTGGGGTGCAGCTGAACTGTCCCAATCCTTCCCTTCCCTCCCTAGGAGCAGGAATCTCCTGGATCAGATTCCTGGACTCCCAGGCTTCCAGGCAGCCATCTGCCAGCTGCTGCCAGGCCCAGGGGAGACATCCACTTAGGGGAGGGGCCTCCTACCCAGCGGGCTCCATTCCTGGGCTTGCAGGCAAGCAGCCTGAGGAAGCCAAAGCAAGGAACCTGGGCCTGAGCCAGGAAGCCTCCTTGGCCAGCAGCCTGGGACCCTCCCCTTGAGACCAGATCCTTAATCTGGCATTGCAGAGGTCTGGCCTGGCAGGTGGCAAGTAGAAGCCAGAACTTGGCAGAGGAGCAAGGCCTGTTGGCTTTGTGTGCCTCTGGGAGCTGCAAAGCCCAGCCTTCAAGTGGTTGTACTCATCAGCTGATGCTTAGAAAACAGAAGCTGAGAATGAGCCATAGTCCAACGCACTGTAGCCATAGAAGGGAGAGAGGGGCAGTGTGTGGCTCTCTGTGCGCTGTCCTCATGCTTGATGCCTATGAGGTAGGCAGGCAGGAGACCATGAGCAGCAAGACTCCAGAACATTCTTTCTCCTCCATCCGCAGGCTTGCTTGCATGGCCCAGAGCCTTCAAGTAACGAGGTGGCCGGAAGCAGGTGGTTGTGCCCAGGAGTGGCAGCGATCCTGTTACTGTCCCTGGAGGAGACAGCCTCTGCCTGGTTCTGCCTTTCAGGGGTTTCTCCCAGCACCCACCTCTCACTGACACCCTGGGACACCCCATTTCTCTCTGCTCTTCTCCTTCTTATTTGTGTTCCCTGCTTCTGTGTGTCATCACTGACCCCTCTCTCCACTCCGACCCTCATTGTCTCCTATTTGTAGCCTCCTTTCTCTCTCCCCCAACCCCATCTTCGTATATATAGTCCATTCAGCATCGTGGGGAGCCCTCAGGGGAGGAGAGGTGGTGCTACAAAAGGCTGCCACCAGGAGTGTGGCTGCTCCAAGCCACTCCTCTAACAAGATTCGCTAATATTTATAGGTGAGTGTGCAGAAAACCCTGGAGGACGGTGGGGGGGGGGGAGAACGGGGCGGGGGCAGACAACAGCCCCAGACTCAGCCTGGCCTTGAATTTGTCATCCAGAATTGAGGGCTGCACCATCCCCAGGCCTCCTCTACCTTGACCTAGAGATTCAGGGACTCTCTGGTGTAGGCTTCCACAGAAGAGGATTCAGCAAAGGCAGGCAGAGCCAGGTCTTCCGGCAGGTGCCCAGTGGGAATCGGGGAAGGGGATGGGTCCGAGGGGTCTCCGTCCCCTTCCAGACTCTCACTCATCTGCTCCCTGTGACAATCGCCGTCTCCCTTATCCATCAGTTTCTTTCCTAGCAGTCAGCTAGAAAGAGAGCCGGCTTCTTGGGTGTCCCTGAGTTCTGTCTCCTAGGGTGTTTTTTCTGACCGCTTGGAAGCCAACTTTGTGCAGGTGCACAAGGTAGAGATATGTGAACACAGACCCTCCACTTTGGGAGAATTTTCAGCAGATTATTCTTTAGCATAAAAGGATTATACATACACTAACTAGAGAGCCTTCAGGATCCCTTCCACCTCCCTGAGGTCAGGGGATGTGGGGAGGGAGGGAAGAGATGACCCCTAAGGATGTCCTTCAGCACAATTGTAGGTTACACGTGATATGACACGAAAAGGAGCATGGGGTCAGGGCTGAGTGCAAGGTGACAGTCTCAGTCCCACCTCCTCTCTTCAGGTGGCATGGGCTAGGGGGCCTCCTTGTCTGTGCTTTGCGTCTATTTCAGGAAAGTTTGGGTAAGCAAATGCTCAGGCAGGAGGACAGACAGGGCTGAGCGTGAGGTGGGAGAGGACCAAGACTCCCAGGACACCAAGTGGGGGCCTACTTTTCTATTTTAATGGGGGAGACGACTTCCAAACTCAGACTTCCAAACTCAGACTCCAGGGATCTCCTTCTGACAGCCAGAGGACTCCAACAAGGTTCTGACTACCTGATGCCCAATTTCAGGGAGTCAAGGCCCAAGCTTGACCTCTGCCACTTCTCAGAGAGGACCCCAGGAGCCCTCTTTGGATCAATTTTCACGGTTATGGAGCGCAGGTAGAGCCTAGGAAAGGGACTGCTGTCTGCCACCCTCCTGTTCCACTTCCTTCTGTCCCATTCTGTTCTCCCCGGGACCCTTCTCACTCTACTGACTGTCACCTCGTTCTTGAAATTATGTGAGGAGGTGAGGTCACAGCTTTTAAAAATATTCTGACTTCATTAATGCAACACATACTGCCAGCATAAGTCAGGTTCTTCCCAGTCCCCGACTGCTGCCCCAGCTTGAGGCATTCCACTTGCTTCTACTCATTTGGGTGGCCACAGCAGAGGACAGCCAGACCTGCTAGGAAGCCTCTGCCCGAACACACATACACACACACACACACACAAGTGTACACAGATGCTTACATTCAAACCTATGATTCATGTCCCTCACACACTCACCAGACCCTTAGGACCTGGACTCTGGGCATCTCTTGTGTTCACAGCCAGTCCACAGCCACGGGTCCTTCAGCTGCATCCAGCTGGCTCCTACCTGCTTTATTTGGAGGCTTCCCTCTCCTGGGGGTAGGGTGGGGGGCTTCCTTCTCCAGGCACACAGGCCACTCAGGGCTTCCTCCTCTCTTGGGGGTTTTCAGACTTAGATTCTAGGTCTCCAGTGGGATCTTGAGCAAGTCTCTCTACCACCCCAAAAACAAAGAGCTTTATCTAAGCTAGTGGGTCCTAAACTCGACAGAGCATCGGAACTACCTGGTAGACTTTTCCAAACACACCTGCCAGACCTCCTCCCATACTTGCTGCGTTGGTCTCTCTCCAGGGAAGGTATGTTCTGGAAAATAAGCCTCAGGTAATTGTGTCACAAAACAACACAGGTGATAGATCCCAGCTCCCACCCATCCTCCCACCCTCTCGTCCAGGTCCAGTGCAGATGGCCACTGTGGTCCTGGGAAGAAGATCCCAGAAGGCTGTGGAATTCTTTGTCCCTAGGCCCTGACCTGTACTTCTGTTTTGCTTGCACTAAGCTAGGGCTGCCAGCACCAAGCGAAACTCTATCCGTATGAACCTCCTGGTCCCAGGAAACTCCAGATCTCTTCTCCCCAAAGACCTGGGGCTGGGTAAGCCTGGCCCACCTCTCTCTCCCAGCTAACAACCCCTCCCCATAATTTATTTGGCCAAAAGGCCTTGAGAGAGTGACTCCTCCCCTCATCCCCAGAGCAGACGGAGATGAGGGAAGGTTAATTTCCGTCCCAGCTGCCTGACAGCTGGGGCTGACAGTGACAGAGTGAATGGCCCAGAGCCTGGGGACACAGGGGGGTGGTGTGGAGGGAGGAGGAGGGCAGGGATGCTAGAGCAAGAAGCCTTGTTCTAGGCCAGGTGCAGGGGGTGGCACAGCCTGGCACCAAGCCCTGCAAATGACCTCAAAAGGCATGCATCTAATGCCTTACTGCTTCCCCCTCCTCTACAGAGGCAAACACAGGCTGGAAAGCAGAGAGGACTGTCCAGGTGCCTTGGTCCCTAAGTCAGAGCCCTCCCTCAAGGCCCTCTATCTGCACAACAGAGGGAGGGGGCAAGCTTGTGTGGCAGAACTCCCAGCTTGGGTGCACCTCACCATCCTTGCGGTAGTACAGGATGTCCACCTTGCACTCCTCAGCCCCCAGCAGTGCCTGGGCCAGGCGGGATACGGCGCTGCTCGGTGTGTTAGGGCCAGTGAGGAAGTCGCAGGTGCACGGCCGCTGCATCACCTCCACTCGCGAGTAGCCAAAGAGTTCACAGAAGCCATCGTTGCAGTAAATGATGGCGCAGTTCTCCATCTGAGCGTTGGCAATCAGGAACTTCCGACCTGAGGTACGAGGCAGGAGTTGGGAAGATGGTGGCAGCCAGGACTGGGCAGCAGGGAGGGGCTCATGGCAGTGTGGTATAGGAGCAGGACAAGGCCCAGCATCAGAGAGGGAGAGGTCAGGAAGGGAAGAACCAGGAAGCCAGAGATGTGGGTGAGGGTCATTACTCAGGAAGTGATGGCAAGAAGAGGTCAGGATGGGGTGGCAGAGGTGAGTGGTGGGGGAACACGATAGTGGCCAGAGTAGCAGGTGCAAGGACCTGGGGACAGCAGTTATCAATGAAGGAGGAGGAGAGTCCAGGGGCTTCCAGCAATAATGAAGGGAGCCAGGACCAAGGATCAGAGAGAGCTGTGACCCCGTGGGAAGTCATGGCAGAGCACCTGAGAAGACCTGGGTGGAGGGATGGAGAGTGGGTGATCAACGAAACCTGCGCAGAGAAGAGGCGAGGTCAGGGCTCAGGGTGCCAGCCAAAGCACTCTTCCAGGAGCTGGGTCGGGCTACACTCTGCCCTGAACTTTCCACAGGAGAGAACAGCCACAGGATATGCGAGGCAACTGGTGTTTGTGACCCCAAATCCAAGGCTTTCCGTCTCCACACCCAGCATCCCTTTGCGCTTGCCCCATCCAAAGTTAGTAAAAATGTCCGGCCCCTTCTGCCACCAAACTCGGCCTCCAGACTGCCCCCGCCCTCCCGAACACACACACTCACATACACTCACTCACTCTGGCCTTCAAACTTGCGGATGATGGTATCCAGGTAAGTGTTTTGGGGTGCGACGTGACCCCTGCGGACCGGCATCTTTGACCCGCGGGCCCTCCCTGGCGCTTCCGACTCTCCGAGCCTTGGCTTGTCCTGGGGTCCGTGGCCCGGAGCTCCCGGTGGGCGCCGCCCCAGGGGAGGTTTGCAGAGCTCCGTGTTCTGCACGCCCGCTCGCCCGCCTCTGCTCGCCCGGGGCCAAGCGGCCCCCCAGCACGCTCGCTGCGCCTCCTCCTCCCTCCGTGCCCGCCGGGGAGCTGTCCGCGCCGCGGTGCTGAAAGGCGCACGCCGGCGGCGGGGCGGGGTCCGTTAGGCGGGGGAACTACCCCACCCACACACACACCAGCCCGGGCGGGTAGGGGTGGGGCCCGGGGCCCGGCTAGAGCAACAGCTTCGGTTGGTGTCTAAGGGGTGTTGTGCAGGGGGACTCTGCCAGGCAGTCAAGAGATGGAACAGAAGGGGTGGTTAGGGACTTTGGCGAGCTTTTAACCATTGGACGTAATTCCTGGCATGGTCCCATGAGGCCTCTTGCCTGCCCTTGACAAGTGCCCTCTAGCTAAGCCCTAGTGCCCAAGCTGAGCTCCTGGTGGCAGACCCAACCTGGTCCTGGGAGGCTGGGGTAAGTGCAAGCGAAGGTAGAGAAATAACCAATAAGCTGTCTTGACCGGAGCGCTAAGGGCTCTTAGCACACAGGCATAGCTTGGAAGGAGAGCAGATTGAAAACCGCCTATTAGCAAGTGACCTCTGATCAAAGTGAGGACTGATTGGAAATGAACACATGACAAACGGCAGATGGGAGTAGGGGTGAGGTTTGTTGAAAGAGGCTTCTTGAAGAGGATTGCTGAGGGTTGCTGGTCATTTAGCTGCTTGGTGAGCTTGGAGCTGTGCAGGGGTCCCTTGAACAATCTGGGGCCGGGTCTTGAAGGGCCAGCATCCAAACAGAACATGCTCCTTGAGTAAAGGTCAGAGTGCCGTCAGCACACAAGGGGCAAATTGTGGCACAGGGGAGGTGAGGGTGGCGAGAAAGGATCATGGATTAAGACTCTCAGATGTTACTTTAAACATTTTGATTTAATTGATAAACAACCAAATTCTTGGGCAGTTCGATATGAAAAAGATATCCTGGCAAAATCAACTGTATGCAATGGTGAGAGGAGGGGAGGAAGGAGAGATTGGGGGCTTGGTGAGGCTTATGCAGGTACCTTGGCCACACAGGGTCACAGTGCCAGGTGGGGACCCCAATGACCACTGTGGCTGGGTGGTGAGAGGGCTTCATGTGTGGCTTCCATGGAGGAGGGGCAGAGGTGTCCTGGCCACTTCTGTTGGTAAGGCTGGCTGTGGAGGTAAAGTAGCCCTGTTTCTCACAAGCTCAGCGCCTGGGGGTGCTGAGCTCTGGGACAAGCATGTGTGGTGGGGTACGCATTCATCCACTCACTCATGTCAGTGTTTTGCAGGCCCTTGATGTGCTCAGCATGGCTGTTACACAGGGGCACACTCAGGCTGTGTGTCCAGTCCTCACAGCTAACAGGTGTAACAGAGACAGGGAAAGACACAACCACAGGGGCTGGCTCTGACTTGGAAAAGCAATGGAGGACAGCCCAAGGCCTCGGACCCCTGTACATATGTGAGAGACCCAAAAGAAGCTCCTGGCTCCCAACTTTGGACAGGTTCAATTCCGGCCATTGTGGCCATTTGGGGAGTGAACCAGTAGATGGAAGATATTTTTGTGTCTCTTGCTCTCTCTCTCTGTAACTCTGCCTTACAAATAAACATTCTAAAGAAAGATTATAGCACAGAAAAATCAGAGCAGTGAAAGCACTATCAAATAAAAGTAATCTAGAGCCTAGAGTTGGAGCAGGAAGTATGTGGGCTCAGCCAGAACGCAGAGGGACAGCTGTGGCTTTGAGGCTCAGATCCCTAATCTAGAGAGAGAGAACTGTTCTCCCATTCTTTTGGCTGTTCTCCCACCAGCTCGGCCACAGCCCTGGTGTATCTTCTGTGAGGTCAACGACTGTCATGCCATGGCCCCTCAGATCTCCTTTGTTCTCTGGCAGATCCTGACTCCCAGGATCCCCAGACTTGGTGAGTCTCCACATCTTGGGGTGTGGCATGCCCATGGCAGGCTGATCCAGGTTGGAGAGAAAGGGCTGGGAGGGATGGAAGCAGTGGCCTCCCCCTCTCTTCCCAGGCTTAAGCCTGGAGCTCTAATTCCCTGAATATCCTCCTGTAGCTCTTTCCCTCCCCCACAGAGCCTGGAAAAGTGCTGTTTGCCCTGTGTTCACTCCCCAAGGTAACGGGCCAGGCAGCAGGTGTGTGTGTTGAACAAGGCCATCTCCAGAGCAGAGTGGCTGGAGATGAGCTTTGTTTAAATATTAAAGAAGTCAATCATTAATCAGGCCTGGCTTCGTGCCCAGCTGCCCACTGTCTCCATCCAAGAGGGCCTGAGCTGAGGCCAAGAGAACCACAGGACAGTTGGTGAGGCCACATGCATCTCAGGTGGGCAGCAAAGAGCTTTTGGGGGCTGGACTGTGCAGCCCCACCCTGGGAAGGTCGGAGAACCGTGCCAGCCGGTTACACAGGGCACAGTGTTCAGGAATTGGCCCAGCGATTTGTGAAAGAATGTCTGGTGTTACTCAAGGATGTTGCATAAGGGTACTGAAGTGCAGTCCTTTTCTAACCACAGTGGAGACTCCCTGGGTACTACACCTCCAGCCATGCCTGGTAGCCTAGCTCCTGAACCAAAGAAGACTGTGTAAACAACCAGCTCTGGGTGTGACCTGGCGATGAGGGCTGGTCTGGGGCGGGGGGCAGACACAATCATGAGGTCACTAAAATCCACCTTCGGATGAAGGGATTTGGTCTGAAGCTCAGGGCACACGTGGACTCCCACTGCTGGTTTCTTGTGCACACATGACCTCACACACCTGAGTCTGCAAACACAACTGCCACTGTGCCTGTGCCCAGATCTGCCACAGCTACCCTCAGGTATGGTCAAGCATGGTGCCGCCTGTAGGCTGTGCCTACTCTCCCCCAACCTTCCCCAGCTCAGCTGCCCCCATCCTTACCGGTCTCATTGGAAGCTAGTCCTCACTCCACCATCTAACTGCCACCCACAGAGGTGTCTGGTGGTGCTGCGTGAAGATCCAAACGGCGAGGCCGATGGAGAACAGCATGAGTGTGAGGCATATGGCCAGCAGGACCCACTGTCTTCGGGCAGCCTGGCGGGGCTCCACGGCCTTACCCAGGAAGTAAGTATTGGTCAGCGAGCTGAGGATAGTGGAGTTCTGGACCAGTGACTGCTTCTCCAGGGAGTACAGCCTGCAGGCCAGCCCCAGGGTCACGAAGGTCATGATGAAACTCAAGGACAGCAGGCTCCATTGCCAAAATTCAACCTTGTTGGCCTCCAGCTCCAGGCCCAGAAAGGGCGCTCTGTTGATTTTTCTCTCTGTTGGAAGATGGAAGAGTCTCCTCTGAAGAGGGAGTCCTGGGGTTCCCTATGGCTCAGGGAGGGTCTGACTGCGACTGGTTTTCCCTGCTCAGTCTCTGGCGCCTGTCTTCCCAGCCACAGGAGAGCACACTGCCCCAGAGGACGGTGGGAAAGAGGAAGAGGAGGAAGGGCAAGAGGAGATAGGCATAGAGTGGGCTACCATCCCCAGGATGTGTCAGGAGACAAGGAGTCAACCTTCTACCCAGCCTGGTGGTCCAGTTTTGCTTGGGGCATGGGCTGTGCCAGGAATGGCATAGGCAGGGCCCCACAGAACCAGCAGTGTGGTGCTGGCCAAGCCAGACCATAGATGGACTTGTTAAGGTTTCAGGCTGGATCAGGGTAGGGGCTGGCCTAGGGAAAGGCAGAGTGGGGTCTGGGGCTGCCCCAAAGCCAAGGCCGGGGTTAGGGTCAGATCATCCATCCAACCTGCGTAGGAACAGCTGAAGTCTGGCCAGCCCAGGACTTCCCCGTGCCGCACATTCTCCGTCACCAGCCAGTTCAGCAGGGGCTTGAAGTAGGTCATGAGGGCTTTGGTGGACAAGTTGGACTCCCCTGTCAGTTTCTTGAGGACCTCTGGCCAGGGCCTGCTTGAGCCCAGCTTCAACGTATCCCTGGGGAAGTGGAGACGGTGGTGAGACCGTGTGGGGGACATTTTCTGGAACCTTCAGTACTCCCCACCCTGGCCCCAGGGAATTGCCAGCTAGGCAGAATCTTCACATAGGGCTTGCCAGTTTGAAACACGACCCACCTGGGCTTAACTCTCAATTTGGTCCCTTATGAGTTTGTGGGACTTTGGATGGCTAATTCCCAAGAGCTTCAATTTCTAACTCCTTAAAATGGGGATATTCAGGGCCCGGTGTGGTAGTCTAGCAGCTAGAGTCCTCACCTTGAATGTGCCAGGATCCCATATGGGAGCCAGTTCTAATCCTGGCAGCCCCGCTTCCCATCCAGCTCCCTGCTTGTGGCCTGGGAAAGCAGCAGAGGACGGCCCAAAGCCTTGGGATCCTGCACCCACATGGGAGACCCAGAAGAAGCTCCAGGCTCCTGACTTTGGATCAGTGCAGCACTGGCCATTGTGGCCACTTGGTGAGTGAACCAGCGGATGGAAGGGCTTTCTGTCTCTCCTCTTTGCTGTATATCTGACTTTCCAATAAAAAGACGACAAATCTTTTTTTAAAAATGGGATGTTCACAGTGCCAGCTTCCTAGGCTTGCTGTAAAAATCAGGTAGGCACAATGCCAGCAGTGCTCAGACAAGAATACATGTTAGCCGCTGACTTGCAGCCTTGGTGGGATCCATAGCCATCCTGTTGTGGTCACAGTCACTCTCCTGGGCTCCCTCAGGCACCCAGTCCTGACTTGCAGCCTTGGTGGGATCCATAGCCATCCTGTTGTGGTCACAGTCACTCTCCTGGGCTCCCTCAGGCACCCAGTCCTGTTTCCCACAGGGCGTTCAGTGTCAGGAGACAGAGGAAGCCCTTTTGCCCTTGCTGCTCTCATGGGGAGTGTGGAATCCCAGAGCTCAGGATGCAGGATAGGCAGTGCTGCATCCACGGCACATCCAGGACCAAACGGAAACTGACTGAGTCTTGGTAACTTGCACTCACAGAGGGGACAGGGTGCACGTACGCTACGGTTCCAGACTTCTCAGCCCAAGCCCCTTTGGTGGTGGTGGGGAGCCCAGCTGTGGCTAGGAATGAGGTCGGGTCTGGAGGCGTGGGGCTCATTACCTGGGGTTTAAACTTACAGAACCCAGTTTGAGGCTCAGCAGTGCACCTCACAGCCTGCATTACAGCAAGCATACAGCCTAACCTTGTTGAGTCTGTTTTCTCATCCATGGAAAGGACTTCATGAATGTCTGCCTTTCACTGTGCCAGCACCTAACCCCCAAATTAACAAAGTGGGGCTCCATAGCTCGCGAAGACTCGCACACATGGCTTCATCAACACCCAGCAAAGAATGAAGCAGGAAAACTCAAGATTTGCTGACTGCAGGCGATAGGGCTGTAACAGACACCTGCTCCGTAGGAAGAGCTCTGTGGGGGAAGGCTCTTGTCTTTAGGCTGCACAGGACAAGATCCTGAACCCAAGCCTAGCCCACAGCCCCCATGGGCAGCACAGGAAGCCTACAGCAACAGCTCCCAAGTGACGGCAGCATGTCTCATGGCCAAAGCCCTACAAGTAGGTTGGATGAGGGCGGAGTTAAAAGTGAGTTGATGCAAACAGATGCCTGCTATTTCTCGCACACTTGTTTTTGGTGCCAGAGATGCTGCACAACAGCCTGCCCCAGTCTGTGTGCTCTCTGCAGCCCAATGCTACAACTCCAGCTCCTCTCTTTGTGTGTTTATCCCATGGTCTATTGCCCCCTGCTGGACAAAGGGTATCTGGCCTGCTAGGAACAAGAAAAGATGCTGAATGCCCAAACTGCTTGCAGTCATTGAGCAGAGGCGCCCCTTGGTTTAACACAGTCAAATGTGCTCCAAGCGGGGCAGCTGGCCGGAAGAGGCTGTGATGTGGAAGAAGGAAGAACAGTGGATCATGGAGACCAGAGTCATGCAAGGGATAGGCCTCCTCAGGAGCAGAGCCCTGGGATCCGTCCTGTGACCCCATCTGGGCTGCTGCTTACAGACTAACTGCATGGTGGACCCCAAATGTGTACATAAACATGTTGAGCCTACCAAAGTATGTGTCATCGCTAATCCACGACAGGACAAACCTCAACATGACCCTGACCCAGTAGGGGAATGAACCCATTGCATTTCAAAGGGGAAGAGACCAAGTTGATAGGTGGATTTGGCAGCTTTGCAGTTGCATGTCTTATCCTGGAACCAGTAGTCTTGGGTCTAATTGCATCATAGCTTGTGTATTCTAATGGAAGTGACAGGATGAAAGATTCTGCGATCAAAGCATAACTTTTGTTTTTTGCTAGATGAATGACAATCATGCCACCTGTCTTACCTTCAGTGTCATCAGCTGTACAGGGCAGATAATAACATTTGTTTTGCCAAGCCATGAGCCACTAACAAGAGACACTGGACGAGCATGTACCACAAAAGTATGGCTTATCATAGGGATTGCTCGCAATTCAGATCCCCTACCCCCTTCCAAAGTTTGCTTCAGGACCCAAACCAGCACAGAAAGGTTGGGGGAAAAGACAGGGATGTTGAACCAGATTACAGACTCATCAGAAGTATGTCAAGGGACAACCTGGATCTGTCAGCGAAAGAAGTGGGGCAGCAGAGCACACCCTGGCATGGGAGAACAGGCAAGCACCCTGCAAGAAAAGAAGAGGGAATACAGGTGGAAGGAAGGCTGAAGGCCGGGTGAGGGCTTTGCCACCAGCAGCTTCACTTCCTGGTACATATGTGTCTGCACGCACGGATGCAAACAGCACTGCCGAGTCCAGAGGAAAATGCACTTTGATTCATGTGGAAGAGACTGTAGTGCGACCCAGGGAAGAGCCTCAGCTGGAACATTAGCTAATGAAACTTCTCGGGTACCCTGTGTGATGAATGAGGGGAGGGGGACTGGGCTTGGCTCCCTGCAGAGAGATGGGAAGGCTGAGGATGAGCCAGGGGGGCAGACACTCACCCCAGGAGTTTCCCAGCTGTCTTGGAGTTATAGATGTCACACTGGTGCAGCGGGCCCACGTGGCCTGAGGCCTTGCAGAGCGCTTCGTGGAATTGGAACTGAAGCACAGTGCCAACAAAGTACCTGGAAGGGGGCAGGATATGGAGCGGAGATCAGGGCTGGGAAGACCAGAGCCACTTGGGGTCAGGGAGCTGTGGCAGATAATGGTGACCTCCACCTTGCCTCAGACCCTGTCATTGGCTTTGAGCTGGTCCCAGAGGCTGGAGCACTGTCCATTCGCCACCTTTAGTATTTACTTGTTTTAAAGTTTACTTGAAAGGCAGAGAGAAGTAGAGACAGATTCTTCCATTCAGTCTCCAAAAGAGCCTGCAACAGCCGGGGATGGACCAGGCCAAAGTCAGGAGCCTGAAACTCAATCCGGTTTCCCACGTGGGTAGGAAAGATACCAGTGCTTGAACCATCATCACCGGCTGTCTCCTTGGATGCGCATTAACAGGATGTCGGAGTCAGAATCAGAGCGGAGACTCCAGCCCACACACTTTGACAGGGGATCCAAGAGTCCCAAAGACATCTTAACTATTGTGTCCAACTCTCCCCCACCTCACCTTGGCTCCCTCACCACCTTGGCCTTCTGAACCAATGTTGCCCCAGCCTTGGCCTCCTGCTCTCCTGCCTTCCACACAGGGCCTGAGGCCAGGGCTCCAAGAGTCCCAGGGTGTGGGCATCAGAAGGAGGTGGACGGGTACAGAGCAATGTTTGGATCTAGGGCTATCCGGGAAATGCCCCCAAAGTCCCAGATCTGGCTGTGCAATGGGGCCCAGCCCTTACTGTATGTAAGGCATGTTGGCAGAGATGTGGAACTTGGCGCCTGGATCAAAGTCGTTCTCTGAACGAGGAACAGGAGGGCACAGGCCCTGGTACTTCAACCTAGGGGTGGAGAGAGACGGGGACTTTATGGATGATGCCTGGCAGGTTCTCCAACCCTCTCCGTTTTGGAGCGCTTACATCAGACCTGGCGTGCTGATGATGGGTGCTTGTTGGTTCAATGAATGAAAACATAAGGCACCAGAATCTGAATAAAAGGCAGATAGAGCTGAACATTGTGCCTCTTCCTGGTCTCTGGCCCTTGCTTACATTCCAATGATGGGAGCAGATAATGGACCAACAAGCAAAGGCATTTCAGCCAGGGAGAGCTGAAGTAGTAACAGGTTGTCCCATTTTACAGGTGCAGACACTAAACTTGAGCTGGCCACACCTCCCGACGACTGGAAGGCTGGCTTTGCCTCCTTGGGCTGGACCTGATGGTTGTTATCTGTGCTGGGTGGTCACGTGCTTTTCTCTGAACTTGGACTTTCTCCCCATTAGACAAGCATGTTGAGTGACCGCAACACCAGATGATGGTGAAGGTTCGGACAGGCCCAAAGGGCCTGGTCAGAGCCCGCAGGACCCACTTGGTAGTCCTAAATCTGGTAGTCCTAAACCAGTGGACTAGAGCAGGACAATCAAATGCCCTGGGGAGATATAGAGATACCCTAGTCACGGGCATTAATTAACCAGTGGAACAGCTGGGAATCTGTGATGAGGTTTGATGTGGGTGTCCCTCACTGAGAGTGACTGTGGGTAGCCACCTGTGGTAGCCTGAGGGTGGTCTGCCCAAGGTAGATGTGTGTGAGCATCTCTGTGTGTGTGCATGTATGTACACATATGTGCATGTGTCAAGCCCCATATCTCCCACAGAAACTCTTGCCCCCTTACGGTCCTTCTCCACGCCTCATTGGTAGGAATTGGGCTGGAGAGGTAAAGACCTGGCAGGTAGATGGACCCTTGTCTGCCAGCCTCTGTGTAGGAGCTTCCCCTGGGGTCTCCCTTGTATGGATATGGAGACTGAAGCCCAGAATAGGCAAGAGATCTATTCAGGGCTATGCCAGTTTCAAGCCAAGGTCATGATTGCCCATGCCGGCTCTGCCTGCTACAATACAACCACTTAGGTCCAGGAATAGATGGCAAAGCGCCAGTTCTACCCTGAGCATCCCCGGGGCCCAGGTGCCCTGCAGCAGGTGACCCAGCCACGCTGTCCACTGCTGAGGTGAGATGAACCCCGCCCTTACCTGAGGTTCCACCATTCTTGGTTGTAGACGGTTTCCCAGATGGTGCCATCAAAGACCCTCCAGCGGTACAGATCTATGAGGTAGCTGAAGGGGATGAAGGCGATCTTGTCCAGGGCAATACTCATCAGGAAATTGACTTCCTCTTCTGGGGGTGGGGAAGGGCAGTCAGGAGGTGGCTCCTGGGCTGCCCTTCCCCTGGCCTTGCACACCCCAGGAGCCGCCTCCTGTTGCCTGTCACCTGAGTCCTGGTGCTGCAGGCTGAGCAGGCCTCTGTTGAACAGGTGCGTATAGAAGGAGGCCGAGAGGGTGACCACTGACCCCACAGCCTCTTCAAAGGCGGGGTTGGCGCCTGCGCGGAACGGTATAGAAAGGTTGCTATATTGCAGGAAGTACTGGATGTGGCCCATCTGGTGGAAGATGGAGAGCAGGTCTTCTATGGTCACCTCGGTGCACTTCTTTATCCTAGGGTTAAAGGGCAGGGGTCAAGGGGTTTGGGAATGCCCTTCACGTGGGGTGGCTTGAGCTGGGAAACAAAAGGGTCTTGTCCACTGTCTTTCCCACTTCAGGCCCCAGGTCCTTGACACACCCACCTGCCCCGACCCCTCCCCTTGCTCCCAGCTCCTGTGTAGTGGCAGCGTGGGCACCTGAAGTCCTTGCCATTGTAGAAGTCCCAGGCCGAGGTGTGGCACTCCACTTCCCGCCCATCACTGGGCCGTTCCAGCATGGACTTTTTCCAGAAGTCTTCAGGGACGGGCAGCAACCCCAGGGAGGTGAAGAATTTCTCAGCCTCCTGAAACATCTTCACCGGCTTCCAGTGCTGCATGGGGCGGGAGAGAGCGTTGGGTGGGGTGCTGTTCTGTCTGCTCGGGGCTGCTGGGGGCAGTGGGTGGGGTGGTCGGGCCAAGCACCCACCTGGCCTCTCATGATCTTTGTAATGTCCTCAGGGGGCTTCTTCGGGAAGGGCAGGACCAGGTCCAAGATGTTGACCCAGGACTGGGCCCACATGTTTCCTGGAAGGACAGGGGGGCAGCTCGGAGGCCAAGAGAGAGACAAGCTCTCCCCTCATCGGGGTGGGGTAGGGGATCTATCTGTCTGCTGGTGCTGCCAGCCCAGCCTTTACCCAGGAGGTGGGCAGGGATGGCACCCCTCACGTTGATGAGCTCAGCCCCATAGAAACGGTGCAGGGAGCGGCGCACGTAGGCGTGCAGGTTCAGGTAGAGCGGCTGCAGCTCCTGGTAGAGCTGCTCCAGGTCGTGCTCCAGGGTGTCCGAGTCATACTTGGTGCGCCACAGGGCTCCCGTATCTCTATAACCTGGGACAAGGAGAGCAGATCCTATCCCCTCCAGGGACCCCACCTCATCCCAGCCCCGCTCCACCAGCACCTCTGGGTGGCCTGGATAGGGCCTCACTGGCTGGTGATCTCTCCCCATGCCCCCTCTCTAGCAGCACCCCATGTGACAGTTGGAGATGTGTGCTTAACTGGGCATTCATATGTGTCTCTCCGAACCTGGTGTGCACCCCAGACCCTGATCAACACTCCTAGCACCTAGGAGGAGATCAGGGGGTTCCCTCTCCAGGTTCTGCCACCGCTCCCAGCCCTCCTGCCAGTGTAGTCCCTTCCTTACCATTGAGCCGTGCAGCCTTGTTGCTCAGGTGCATATAACGAGGGAAGATGGGGCGCAGCTGGCGGCCCACGGCATCCCGCCAGCCCTGCCAGGCCCACAGCAGCTCCTTTTCGTCCCTCGAGTTGGCCATGATTTCTTGGAGGTCTATGCCGGGAAAAGAGCCATGTGTGATCCTCTCTCTACCCTCTGCCCTCACCTACTCTAGGTGCTTCTCCCCTCCCTCTATCTGGATGTTGAGGGGCTAGCCTGGGGCTCTCACCAGGTTCCAGAGTCAGGCAGGGTCCCTCACTCAGGCACACCTGGCCCACACTGTACGTCGTCTTCATGTAGGCCAGCAGCTTGTTGTACTGAGGGGGCAGGTGTCACCCAGATGGGCCCCTGCCCTTGGCCCATGCTCTACCAGCCAGGAGAGCCAGGCCTGGCCCAAGCATTCCTTCCACCCTGTCCTCTCTCCCCGCCTCCTCCTGCCCCACACATCGGGGCTCCCTGACCAGGCTTGATCCCGCCCCACACCTAGGGTAGGGTGGGGGGGGGGGAAATGTGCATGGAGGTCAGGGATCTCCATCCATCACCTCCTGGAGCTGGTCTTCCGGCAGGGCCGCCTTATCTATGTCCTGCAGCTTTCTTAGCATGCGCTTCACGGCCGGGTCCTGAAACTGGGAGACCTTGAACAGGCGGGCTCGCGTGCCGAAGTAGGTCAGGAACTTGGACTTCTCCACTTCCTTGTGCAGCTGCAAAGGCGAAGGGTGGGTGCATGTTTGTCTGGGAAGTGGGAAGAGGGAAAAGGGTCCACACATCATTGTGGCTCCCTATTTTGCAGGTTTGAAGATTTGCTAAGAGGGAGGGGGCAGAAAGTCTGGGGAGCCTAAATGCACAGAAGCCCAGGGTCACATGGGACCTGAGGCTCATGGTCCCCTTCTGACATACACTTGGGACTTTCCTCTTCCCCTCAGCTCTCCACAGGGAGCAGAAGGTACGGTTCCCCAGACCCCTAAGGCCCCCCGGGGCAGAGCCAGGGGAGGACGGATGGGGCAGGAAACAGCACCACACCATCTCCTCCCGGTTTGTCTTGGTGACATTGGTGACATAATTCCAAGCGGCTTCCATGAACTGGTTCAACACAACCTCCGCTGTTTGGTCGTAAAGCTGTAGAAACAGCCTGGCCTCCGTCTCATTGTAGAATTCGCCTGGTGGGGAGAAGAAGGCATTGTGTGGTCCTGGGAGGGACTTGCCCCTGCCTACTCCCCTCATCTGGCCCATACTCCTTTGGGTTCCACCTGCACCTAAGCTTGGATCAGCCATGGTACTGAGCCATGGCAAGAGCTGTCCATAACAGAGGAACGCAAGTATGGAAAGCACAGAGCAAGTCCGTCTTGTACCCATGACCGAGAGAAAAGCAGAACATGGCATGGGGAGGCTATGCGCCAATTAGGAGCCAGTTCCATATTGTGACATCAGGGGCCAAGGGTCAGCCACAACTATTAGAACTGGGAAGCCTCCACCCACCTTCTGGCCCAATAGCTCCCATTTTACAGGTAATGAGAATAAGGTCTAGAACAGTCAAGATAAATGGTTTGCTTCCCACCAACCAGCCAATGGCAGAGCCAAGGGGAGAACCCAAAGCTCTTAATTTTCTTTTTAAAAAAATATTTGAAAGGTGGAGTTACAGAGAGAGAGAGGGAGAGAGGGGGAGAGAGAGAGAGAGAAAGAATATCTCATCTGTTGGTTCACTCCCTAGATGCCCACAATGGTTGGGGTTGGGCCAGGAACCAGTGGTTTCATCTGACTCTTTCATGTGTGTTTAAGAGCCCAGGCAATTGGGCCCTTCTCCACTGACTTTTGCGAGCCATTAGCAGGGAGCTGGATCAGAAGTGGGGCATCCAGGACATGAACCAGCATCCATATGGCATGCCGGTACTATAGACTGTGGCTTTACCTGCTATGCCATGATGCTGGCTCTGTGGAGTAGAACAAGTTGGTCACTCCTCTAGGGGCTTGGCAGTGATCAGTGAGACTCCTCTGAGCAGAAGCTGGGGTCACCTGTGAGCAGATGAGTGGAAGGACGGATAAGCAGACAGGTGAATGGTGAATTTCTGAGTCTCAGGATTTGGGAAGCCCATGTGCCTTCTGACTTTACTGGCAGGACTCTAGCTCTCTGCCAGGAACCTCCCAGATCATGAACACATGTTGTTTGGGGAGACCAGCTGCCCAGTCTTGTCTGTCTCATCTTGGGGTTCCTTCCTTGGGCTCACTTTTTTCCACCCTCATATTCCCTCTACCCTGTAACCCTCTCCCCCTAGGTCTTTTTACTCTCTAATGTGGGCTGACACTATAACCAGAGGAAATGACCAAGTAATCCTCAAAATATGATCTGTCAAAATACAATTAAAACGCCAGGAAAGAAGTCAGTGATATTCCAGCCAGGCTGATGCTTGGAGCTGGCTGAAAGTCCTGCTCTCACTTCCCAGGAAGTCTTGTGAATAATGCAAAAGGCAGAGCTGGGCTGGAAAACAACAACAGGCGCTCTCAGATGCTGGAGATGCAGGGAGCACCTGCAGCAGAGAGCAGGGGCTAGGGGGCCGAAGAGGGTCCATGAAGCTCCATGGGGACAGGTGACCACTTGCACTGTAGCTACGACATTAAGATGGGAACTAGGAGGTGCTTCCTGTGTTAGAGGACCCTACAGGAAGCAGTCACGTGTATGGGCCCCTGCTGAAGGCTTTTCCCACTGACTCATAGGTCACGTTTACCAAGCACAAGGGAAAAACTCAATGCCAGGAGGGACAATGGCAATAAGCAGCACCTCCCAGCCCCCAGGTTTTAGGGTCTTGAAGGCTGTTAGGGGTTGGGTCCTCACAACAAATTCCTTGTCAACATCCCCCATTTAACAGATGACAAAACAGACAACAGAGAAGTTGAGAACTTGCTCACAAGTGTCAGCTAGCAAATAGTGCAACTGGAACTCAAATCTGAAAGGATTCCCTCCAGAGCTTGTATTAAGCTACAGACCCAAAAGCAGAGCAGAATATAGGGATAGACTCAGAGAAACCCTCAAAGGGATGCAGAACACGGCCTTTTATGTCACGAATATAACAGCTATGAAATTCTTAGAAGAAAATACATGGGAAAAATTTTCATTAAATTGAATTTTGCAATGGTTTCTTGGATTTGATACCAAAAGCACAGGCAACAAAAGGAAAAACAGACAAATCAGACTTTATCAAAATTCCCTTTAGTGCATCGAAGGACTCTATGCAGGGGGTAAAAAAAGCAATCCACAATGGGAGGAAAATATTGGCAAGTCACATATCTGATAAGGGATTAGTGTTGAGAATATACGAAAAACTCCCAAACTCAGCAGGCAAAGGGGGTAAGGGACTTGAGTACACAACTCACTGAAGATGGTCTGGGAGCAGCACTGAGCATGTGAGAGAGGACATGCAAGGGCACTCACCTCCTGGAATGTACAACCCAGCACGTTGTGCACGCAGTGGCATGTTCCTTCACACCCGTTAGGGTAGCTAATATCAACGTAGAAAACAAATTTGGCCAACATGCAGGAACTTGGAGCCTCTTGGCACCACTGATGGGAATGTCAAATAGCATAGCTGCTGTGGAAAGGAGTGGCATTTCCTCAAAAATTAAACAGAGGGGCTGACATGGTGATTCATTCACAGTAAAGCCAGATTGTGGTGGGGGGACTGGGCAGTTAGAAAATGGTGGAGGACCAGCAGAGGGTTGAAGAGAATGAGAGAATTGTCCAGTCCCCTCCCCCTCCCCCAGGGTTGGCCTGGGGAAGAGTTGATCACAGAACAGTACCACCAACAGGTGCAGCGTGGGGAAAAGGCTCAGGTGTCAGGATCACTGGTAGAGACAGCTGGCCAGGCCCCTCCTCCTGCTGTCCACTTCCTCTGCTACCATGCAGGTAAACCTGGCCTCCCCACACTCCCCCAAAGGAGGCAAAGCCAGGAGCCTGAGCCATGGCAGTATTGTCAAAATCTAATGGTCAAGGCTGCTCGGGCTGCTGCAGTGAATTGCCAACTTCCTCTTAGCTGGCAGTCTACAGCTTGGGTCTTTGGGTATTGAGGGCTGGTAACCTCAAACAGCCCAAGGGTTCTGACAGGCTCCACGGTTCACACATAGGAAAGAACATTTTGTGACAATGACCTGTGTGTGGTAGGGGAATGGTTGTGAAAGCAGCCTTTGGGGGTAGAGACGTGTTTATAAACACCATTGTCTTCCTTCATTGTAAATTTCCACTCGTGTAATCCAAAATAGCTCAGCTCCACACCCTGCGGCACGGCACATGCCTGCATGAGCACACACACAATGGCTAGAGACTGGAGGGGGTACAAACTGGAGACTAGGGTAACCCAGGAGACAGATGTTTGGGGGATGGATACAACTATGGTTAAAGCATCAGCAAAGCCCAGAGGAGGTTCAGAACCAAGGGCTCTGAGGGGCCAGCCTGGCTCTGGAAAACTGGATGAACTTCCCTCTGGCCAGGTTCTAGGTGTGACTTCAAATGCGTGTCAAACAGAGCCAAGGCTGTTGGCTGATGTGATACGCAAACTGCAGATGGGGCATGATCCCACTTACAGAGTGGAGGGACAAGGGCTGGAGGGCTGTGGTGCAGAGCTCAAACCCATATCGAATGCCTGGTTCCCCCGCTTCCAATCTGCTCTCCCTAACACTTCCTGGGCGGCAGCAGGTGATAGTCCAAGTTCTAGGGCCCCTGGCAGCCACGGGGGAGGTTCAGGTGCCATTCCTGGTTGGTTGTTTTGGTCTGGCTCAGCCATGGCTGCTGAATGAACCAGTGAATGAAAGTGCTCTCTGTCTCTCCCTGTCATTTAGAAAGATTGGAAAGATAAACATGTCCACAGTGCTGATCCCTCATGTTGATATAAACGGCTTTTATTTTTCTTTACAGTGTTGTGTGTTTTCTAAATTTTCTACAGAACCTTGAAGACACAAGTCACAAAAATGCCCCTCAAGGCAACGCCCACCTGCCCGTCTGGCCACACTGGCCTCCTGCAGAGCAACAGGTGGCTTGGGCAGTTTCTCCCTGCACGGGCTCAGGCTGCTGAGGGGTTCTGCTGTTCGGGCTCGCCTGGCTGTGTGGACGCTGGCCTGAGGCAGGCTCCAGAGGGCCCCAGGCCTGTTCCGTATGCTCAATGCAGATGGCCAAGGGTGGTTGACAGCCTTCATGTGGAGGGGGGTGTGCCTGGACATTCATGGGTACAGCTGGGGGAGCTGGGGGTGGTTAATCATCAGGAAGGGCACACGTGAGGCTGGCAGCATGGGAGTCGGCTCCCCAGAGCCTCCCGCTCCTCCCTCCAGCTTTGTGCCTGGGTGGGCAGGACTGGTCAGCTGTCACTGTGCTCCATGGAAGGAGGGCACAGGGCCGAGACAAAGCTGGGAGATACCCCGGTCTCTTTGTGGATAAAGATGGAGGCAGCAGCCCAGTAAAGGGAGGTTGCTGGGGAAGAGGCAGGAGGGCAGCCCGCCCCCAGTCCCTGCCCCGGCTTCCTGCTGAGTGACACAGACTCAGGTGGGAGGGCAGGGCCTTTAATTGTATCCACAGAGACCCATGGGGGGCGTCACGGTGGGTGGCTAGGTGTCTGTAGAATGCGAAGGAGAGGTTGGGAGTAGACGGGGTAAGAGGAGGAAGAGGAGGATAAAGAGGAGGAGGGCGGGCTGGGGGCACATCTCCGGCCTGCTGCCCGCCACCCCAGCCGGCCTTCCCAGCTTGGTCGTCTCAGGAGTGTCTCAGCTCCACCTCGGAGCCGAACTGGGGCCCGCGGTGGGGCCGGCGGAGGCTCTGGTAGCGGATGCTGAAGAGCCGCTGGGTGAGGCCCAGGCTGGCCACGAGCAGGGCGACACCCAGGAAGAGCAGTACCCACTGGCCCACGCGGGCCTGCTGCGCGTCCAAGTTCATGCCCAGGAAGTTGACGCGGCCGGAATCCGGGAGGGAGCCTTCCGAGCGAGCTGGGCGAGGAAGCAAGGAGACAGGGCCGTGGTGGGCAAGGCGACGGTGGCTGGCCCATGAGGTCTGGCTTCCCTGCACTTGCTGAGGTCACACCGCCGCCTGCCTGGCCTGGGGACGGGTGGGCTCAGGCCTGCGCAAGCTCAGGGGGCCGGCCCAGGGGCTGGAGGTGGGGCGGGTGGTGGTACCAGAGTTTGGCATCCAGGTGTACTGCGGCCAACCCAGCTTCTCCCCATGCCGCCCATTCTCAGTGAGGAGCCAGTCCATCAGGGGCTTGAAGTAGTTCATCATGGACGAGGCTGACATGTTGGGCTGGCCCGTGATCAGCTTCATGGCTTCTGGCCACGGCTTGCTAAAGCCCAACTTCATGGCATCCCTGGGGAGAAACCGAGTCAGA